ACATATCTGTTATAAATAAGCTAATATAGTAGGTGCACTGTCAGATCATATTGTATTATATCATAGTATGATATGTAGTAAAATATAACATACTACATTCTGTTATACTACATTCTATTATATCAATTTAATGTATACTATATACTATTTACTTTATAATTATTATATAATTAAATATAAAGTTTATTTAGTATCTAATTCTGCGCTTATTATATATATATATGTTGAGTTTTAGCGAAATGTTGTTGTAAGTTGTACAATATTTGTTTAATTTGTTTGAATTGTGTTGGGGTGGTGTTTTTAAAGATTTGCTATGTTGTTTAGATGTTGGGGATGTTGTGATGTTGGCAGTTGGGCGTTCTAGGCAGGTTTGTTGAAAGTTGGCGATTCTCTGATTGTGCTTAGAGGAGCTACCTTCTGAGCATTACTAATGTATATGCCATTCTTCGTTTCTCAAGTGCTTCTCTCGAGCCCGATGACCGTCCCAAGCGTTTCCAGGGCGAAGCCGCAGGCGGCCCACAAGCGTCTGCCAGGAAGTAGCTGGCGGCGCCCCTATGAAGCCGCAAGCGACCCTTAGGGATCAGGTCTGAAGTGATCGGCCGTCGCTTCAGATAGCGTCCAGGGCCGGAAACAATATGCAGTTCCAATTTTGTCAGACCTCGTGCGTCGGGGAGCGTTGGGTAAACATATTCGCCATCAAGGTGGTGGGTCCTGAGGGAACTGTTGGTCACTCGCGGGAGCGCAAAGACAATCGCACGCTGCGCATCCCGGGGCGCGTTGCGCGAGCTTAGGCGACCTAAGAAACGAGTCCTGAGGCTTGTTGCCGCTGGCAGGACTCCCTGGGCCCTCCCCGGGCCCCAGGGGCCGTCAAATAATAGTTCACTCGGGGGTGGGCAGAACCCCCAACAGTGACACGTCGATTAGTGAATTGTCCGGTTTCGGTTCTCGAGAGGGCGCCGTGGCCGTTATTTTCCAGGCTTGCGCCCGCCAGGTTTGGGCCTCAGGTCGTTTTCACTAAACCACGTTTTACTAAAGGGGGGTCTGTCCATCCCCGATTCACGATGAAGAAGTGGTCATGTGGGAAGGCCCCGGCGTCCAGGACCCGCTTCCTCGGGACCTGGTTTTTTGAGGCCAAACGTACGCGGCAGGTTAGTGTTTCGCGTCGACGTGGCGGCGACCCCAGCGCGGGCGTGCGAGCATGAGCGCCGCCAGTGGCCTGGGATGGGCCGATGTCGGGCGATCTGCGCTCGCGGGGCGCCACGATGGCTCCGTGGCGGAACGGCCCAGGCAGTGTCAGAAGCCAGGGCCGGAGCCATCACGACACGAGACTGACGTATTGCACCGATCCTGGGCCCAACATCGGCCTGGCCAGGACATCGATGTAGGGGTGCTATATACATCCCCAGGCCGAAAGTTTCTTCCTCGTGGATTCGACATTTGAGAACACCGATAGATCCAATTGGATCTTTTTTGAGTGTGTGACAGTGTCGTGAATCCTATTGCTGTCTTGCGCGGATCCAATTTCCCGTGCGTGAGAAACTAATGGATCCATTTATTTTCCAGGAAGCCGCAAGTGCTTGCTTCGATTAAAGGTATGAGAACACCGATGGATCCAATTGGATAGTTGTTGTTCGGATGTGCGACAGTGTCGTGGATTATATTTCTGTCTTGCGCGAATCCAATATCTTCCTAGGACGGAGAGGGGAAGGAGGAGGCACGAAGCCGAAATCCGCTCACCCGAACGGCACGTAGCTTCCGACAAGTGGGGCTCAAGAGGAAAATCTTCCGGCCTGCGTAAGTATCTCATGGAAAGAGCCGGCCGACCCTAAACCCGATCCGGGCAGGCCTAGGACAAAGATGAATGTTCCCGAGCGTTCTGGAACGTTCTCGAGGCGTTCTGGAACGCTCCCAGAGTCTGCGACGGCCCGTGGTCTTCCGTATGGTATCCCGTGGTTTCTCCCACGGTTTTTTGTCCGCACGCTCTCCCGTAGGATTTCCCGTATGTTCTCCCGTACGGTCTCTCATTCTTGTCCGAAATGTTCTACCGTAGGTTCTCCCGTAGGTTTTCCCGCGTATTACCCCGTAGGTTCTTCCGTTGGTTCCCCACATACTCTTTCGTAAGTTCTCCCGTCCAGTCTCCCGCATGTTGTCCCGCTTGTTCTTCTGTATGGTGTCCCGCATGTGTGTTTGTATGTTCCCCCGTAGGTTCGCAACATGTTCTATTGTATGATATCCCGTGCGGTCGCCCGCATGGTCTTCCATATGTTCGTTCGTATGTTATTCCGCATGGTTGTTCCGCATGTTGTCCCGTACGGTTTCCCATTTCACACTACAGCAGCGCAATGATGCGTCAACGCTTTAAGTATGTGTTGTTAAAGTATATTGTTTAGGTAACGCGGTGTGCTCTGTACGTGGATGTGATGGATGATTAGAATGAGTGTGCGCGGCGTGATGATTAGACACCGTATGTTCCCGACGAGTTGCATGCATCCGTGCACTTGCCTACAACAGCAGGCAATTGTACGGTGCGCAACGGTGAAAGCCACGTGTTGGAAACCAACCGACCGCGTGGTGCGGCGAAGAGGTGTGACGCATCCGGCGTCCTCCGGCTCATCTCGCCATCGTGCCCAGGTCGTGGACAAGGGGCCGTTTCGAAGCCAGTTGGGGTCTATAGATTGGATCCCTCTGGAGAGCAGCTTGGGGGATGGGCGGTCTAGGGAGCCATCTTGGAGGAAAGGCCTTGAGACGAGAGGTCGTCTTCCCCCTCTTAGGGCCGTCTTGGTGGCTACTTGACCCTCTTAGGGGCCTCCAGGGCCGTTTTTGACCAACTTGGGCGCTCTTTCGTTACCAGGAGAGAAGGAAACACACAGACATAACTAATCGTCGACTCCTAGGAAAGTGTCGGAAAATATGGGACGAGGGGGGGAAGACGAAAACCCAGAAAATATTGGGAAATACGGGGGATCCTGGGAGTTGTGTCTATTCATGTGTGTACCCCTGGGCCCCTGTTATCCTAAGACCTTGAAGATGAGCGTGCTAACACACTGTACGGCCTGGGCCTCTCGGGCTGGCCCTCGGGAGCGTCGCGGACGGCCCAAGACGCGCCCAGGAGGGCTCATGGACGGTCCTCGGGACCAGCACGGGCCATGCTGCACGTGCGGATTCTGCAGTCACCCCGCACAGTGAGGATGGACAACCTTCCCAATGGCTAACATGTTCCAACCTGCTTTGGCTCTGATCGCCAGAAAGAATGTCGAGCACGCAGAAGGTACCGAAAATTGAAGGTTTTCACGTGTCGGGTCCTGGGAGGCGACACTGTTTCGACACTCTTTTCTGGGTGCTCGAAATTAGTGCTTGGGATGTGGTCCTTGAGTACGATGGGGGTAATGTAATCCCAAAGGTGCCCTTGCATCTTTGCCCCTTCGGCCCATCCTTAGCGGCTTTCGCTGGCCATCCTCGTTCGAAAAACGTGCTAACATGGGTCTCTAGGGCCCTTGCGTCCTTACCGCGCATCCTTATGATACGGGTCGACTGTAGGTCACGCTCCCAAGGCCTACAGAAAAGTTACACGAACAGGAGCGCCCAGAGCTCTGGGCGCTGGGCCCCACAAGGAGCACTCACCAGGTATTATACATAGAAATCGAAGACACCAGAGGACACTGCGCTGAGTGCCTTCGGCAAGGTGGCTGATCAGGAGAGGGGTTGTATGGAGGAGGAGGAGGAGGAGGAGGAGGAGGAGGAGGAGCGGAAGGAGGAGGAGGGGGAGGGGGAGGGGGAGAAGGGGAGGGGGGGGAATTGCAGGAGGATGAGGAGCAGGGGCAAGACATGGACGAGGGGAGGTTTCGGACGCGGGACAGAAGAAGCTGCCAGCCAAGCTGGAAGCCTCCTTTGTCCTTTGCCCGATCCCTCCTTTGCTGCCAGCCAGATTTCCCACACTGGACCCATTTGGAACCGCATGCCGATTGTTTTCGATTCGATGGTTCTTAGCTTATCCGATTCCGATTGTTCGACTTGAGGTTGTGTGACGTTGCAGCCCCGTCCGTTGGCTCTTGTCGGGCGGGCCCAGGAAGAGGACAAGTCGTGACAGAGCGTTCAGGAATGCTGACCCACATGCTCTCAGATATCCCGAGTTCGTTGTGCCGATTTGGTTCGCCGGGGCCTCGCCGATCCGAGACCCACGTTCCAATCCGAGGGAGAGTGGACCTGCCCCGAGGCTGACGCCTATGCGAAGGCACCGCCTGGTGAACCAGTGTTCCTGGGCCTCGGAAGGCTGTCGGCACTGATCCAGTCGGGGCCCACCGGGGCCCGGAGGTGTCCACAGCCACCGCCCCCCGGGATCCCTGGGACATCGGCTGCCCGGGCGGCGCAGGTGTGTGTACCCAGAAGTTGGATGCAGTGGAGGCCCAGGCCAGAAAGCACCCTGCTTGCCTCTAGGGTGCCCTGGGTGTCTTGGGTTTCGATGGTGCTGCGATGGAGAGCGTGACGTTCCCACGCCAAACATCCATGGGCGTCCTGGGGTCTCAGGGTTGTGTTTCTCGTGAAAGGTTTCTTGTGGTCGGCCCCTGCTGCACCCAGAAACCGGATAATTTCACCGGACGCGGCCAGCCTGGGCGAGAGATGGGTGCACGTGTGGCCAGCTGCCTCGCTAGCGCTCGGCCCCATCACGGCCGTCTGTAGACTTCAGTCGGGCCTGTCCCTCTACGGGGGGAATAGCCAAAAATACCGTGGAGTGAGACAAAATGTCAGGGGACGATGTTTTGAGTATGTTTGAGCATGTGCTGGCTGTTTTTGATGATCTTTCATTTCTCGACCCCAATCCGCCTGTAGGGGGACAGGCCCGACCTCAAGTCTAGACCCTGCGCCCGCACGTGCATCCAGAGCGTGGCCTCCCCGCGTCCCGCACGTGCACCCGGCCACGCCTCGTCACGCCAGCCTCCCTGGTGCGCTCTGGCCTCGAGCCTGCGGGGCCCCCGCCCCGCCGGCTCCTGTTCGTGGGAGAGGTCGCCGACGTGGAGCTGTGCGGGGACGAGCCGTGGTTCGCCGAGGCGGCGGTCCGGAGGAGGCGCCGCGGGCGGGCTCCGCACCGCGCCGTGCCGCCGCCGCCGCCGCCGCCGGACGTGCGAGCGCCGCGCGGGAGGTCACGTCGGGCGACGCCTGCCCGCGGCGTCCCCGGGAAGGGCCCGGCGAGACGACGGCGGCCCTTGCTTCCTGTCTGGGCCGCCCGGAGGCTCGCGGTGGCCACGGCTGCCTTCGCCTCCGAAGACGGGTCGGGAGGGGCCCTGTCGGGCGGGCCCAGGGCCGGGATGGAGTCGCTCCAGAGCTCCGCCCTCCGAGCGTTCCCGAGCGCCCGATGCGTCCTCCAGGGATCCTCGACGTATCCCGGTACGGTGTCCCTGTCCTGGTCTCGTAATTCCTTTTCGGGAGGAGTCCAGCGCTGCGCTCCTGTGGCCCCGCTTCTGGCCAGGGGCGGCATCGCGGATCGAGGAAGCGCAGACATGAATTGAAGAGCGTGGATTAGCGACAGGTCCCGCTTTCGTGCAGATTCGGGACAATCCGCCACCAGGTCAGGCAGAATCGGGCTCGTGTCGGGGAAGTGCTTTGCACGATCCTCGGATTCGGCGCCCTCGCGCCAGATCCAGGGATTCGTCATCCATGTTAGCTTGCGTTCGAGAAGACGGGGCCGAAAGTTCTGGTCACGTTTTTTTGCTCACGGCGTCGGAGGTCGGTGTGGTTGCTCCCCTTCGTCCCAAGGAGCAGTGGGGATTACGCAGTTGGCGAAATGCCCGGGTCACCCGTGGGGGCGCGAAGATTCTCGCGCGTCGCGAGTCGCGGTCTGGGCCAGAGCGGTTGCCTCTCTCCAAGGGGGTTACGCGCGAGGGCGGGCGGCCTGGTAATATCGAGGGTGATCGGCGCGGCAGCTCTTTTTTGGGCCTCCGTGGGCGTGATCCAAGAGCTTTCGGTCCGAGGCCCTTTTTCACTCAGGGGAGGTTTACTGAAGGGAGGTTTGTCCGCCGCCGAATTATATACCCAAACGCCGTATGCATGACAACTACGTGATCACGGCAGCACACCATGTCTACGGAGCGCGGTTGCGCGTTTGTTGGTTCCTCCTCGTTCTGCTGCTGCGCCTCCTCCCCATCCTCCTCCCCGCGTCCCAGGAGGAGGGGGAGGAGGAGGAGGAGGAGGAGGAGGAGGAGGAGGAGGAGGAGGAGGCGGAGGAGGAGGAGGAGGAGGAGGAAGACGGCGAACTGCGGACCACGTGGGGCTCAGGAGGGGCTCTTGTCTCCGGGCCTGTGTTCCTTGGAGCCGGGCCGGGAACCCGTTCGTGGCCGAGGCCGGGAACCCGACGGAAGAGGAGCCCCTTTTCCGTCCCTCGCGTGGCGCTCCACGTGGTGGCCTCCTCCCCCTCCTCCGCCTCCTCCCCCTCCTCCTCCTCCTCCTCCCCTCCTCCTCTCCTCCTCCTCCTCCTCCTCCTCCTCCTCCTCCTCCTCCTCCTCCTCCTCTTCCGCTCCTCTTTCTCCTCCGCCGCCTCCTGCTCCTCCTCCACCTCGCCCCCCCTGAGGCCCATCCTCCCTGTCGTGCTCCTCTCCGTGCGCACTGTCCTCGCCCCCCTCCTCCCTCCTGCTCCTGGGTCGCTTAAGTCGGGCATGTCTCTACACAGGAGGGATATTCAAAATGATTAAAAGATAGTCTGGGGACGTTTTTTTATTATTTTTGTTAGTGTGGTTCGACGATTTGTTTGGTCTTCCAAAATCCGCCCATAGGAGGACATGCCCGCCCTAATGCTTCGTCTTCCTCCTCGTCTCGAGCAGCGGATTCCCCACCCAAAGGGTTCTTTGTCACTGTCCTTTATTATGATCTGAATCGTGACGATCTCACGTAGGAAGAGGGGGGCATGGACCCCCCCCTACACATGATGGTTCTCGCGCGCATGCTGCAACGATTGCAGCGCACCCTTGCCCTGACGTGCCCCGTCCCGCCCAAGTGTTACGGAGTGGCCCAACCCCCTCCCCCCCCCTCTCCTGAGTAACGACCGTCACCCGAAAAAGACAAAAAGGCAATCTCGTTTCGGTCCCAACGATCCGATTCGATTCCGACGATCCGCTGCGGCCCGATGTTAGCATGGCGCTGTTGTGCATCCCAGGTGCGGCCAGATCCAAATTCGGACTCCGTGTCGATGTTGCTTGATCCGAGGCGTTTTCTGATCTGATTTCCCGATTCGATGCTGGCAGTAACAAGTGCTAGTGCACAAACTTCTCGGGAGAAAGGGCGTTAACAGTATCCTCGAACCTCAGGCTTGGAGCGGTGTGGAGGCTGCATCATCATCCTCCTCGGTTGTAATCTTCTGGAGTTCCAATTTAGCTTCGGCGCTGGCATATCCACGGCCGAAAGCAATACTTCTCTGACCTGGTCCAGCTGAAGATGGCTTCATCCCGCAATGTTGGTTGGTTTTGACTTACTCCGGCTTAGTCGCCCCCTAATTCTAGTGTGATGGTTGTAAGCCGTTCACACAGAGGCTTCCCAGGAGATGGCTCCTCAAAATGCGCCTTACCTCCCTAGACATGTGATGTCCTGATGTATTCAATACACGGTCCCCAGAAGTCCCGACCTTCTCACGGGACCGGCTTTTCATCCTGAGTCTTTTGTTGACGGTCCCATGTCCCGGTAAGGGCCCCCAAACCGAAAATTAGGAACGACATTATTGTCCCGATCTTTTTCACGCCGCGAGCATGTCTGAGTCATCTTCCTCTGTTCGATCCTCGATCCTCCTTCTCCTCCTCCTCCTCCTCCTCCTCCTCCTCCTCCTCCTCCCCCTCCTCTTACTCCCCCTCCTCCTCCTCCCCCTCCTCCTCCTCCTCCTCCTCCTCCTCCTCGTCCTCCTCCTCCTCCTCCGTGCAACCCCTTTCCTTATCATCCACCTTGCCGAAGGCACTCAGCGGAGTGTCCACAGGTTCCTTCGATTTCTCTGGATAATATATGATGAGTGCTCCTTGTGCTCTGGGCGCTCCTATTCGCGTGGGTCTGCGTCTTCTTCGCCCAGTGCTTCTTTCGCGGCAACCGCGTCACAAAGGTCAATGCGACCATGCTGAAGGCCTTCGACTCGCCCTGCTACCCTGTCCTGGCGGAGCAGGGCATCAGCCTGAGCGTGCTGGAAGAGCTCGACGAGCAAGAATGTGGCAGTTTGGCCAGCCTCCGCAAGGAGCTTCTCGCGGCAACGGACCTCCAGTCCCGCTCGGGGGAAGTCCGCGAGAAGGTGGCCGCCGCGCAGCGCCTCGCCGCCACCAGCCGCCAGCGTTTGGCCAAGAAATGCACGGGCGGCAATGGCGACGCTCTGGACTCTGCGCAGGCGGCAGCAGCACCAGCCGCAGCAACACCTGCGGCAGCAGCTCGCGCAGCAGCTCGCGCAGCAGCTCGCGCAGCAGCAGCGACAGACGCAGTTGCAGCAGCAGCAGCAGCAGCGGCCCCTGACGACGATGTCGCCGCGAAGAACGTTGGAGGTGTTCCAGGAACTCCTGCCGAGAAGGCAGGCGACCCCGTGCTGGCTGCGGCGGCCGCCAAGCTGAGCCAGGCCATGTTCAAGGCCGCCGAGCAAGCGAAGGTAGCTTCGGAAGCTCGCAGTGCCCCAGGCTCGGCTGACCCAGGTGCAGCGCCGGAGGCCGCCCATGCGGCGTCGCCCGACGACGAGTGCAGCAGCGTGTGACGCCAGGCGCCGCCAGCGGCTTCAAGGGTAGCCGTTGGCGCGGCTGGCAGTGGCGCGCAGCCGCACAGTTTTGGTATTTTTGACGGTCATGTTGTTTTCCTTGGTGTTGAGGGGTCAGCGCCCGCAGTCGCAGCCGACTGCGCTCGCGGAGCGTCAGCACCAGGACGAGGGTTGATCATCGACGGCGCCATGTGGATCGTGGCGAGCCCCCCCGCAAAAGCCGCACTCTTTTTTCGCGAACATCATTGCGATTGAACCGCAGGCCTGGAAGTCAGTGGAGAAGGAGTGCACCGACTACGATTTCCTGGGCTTCGCGGAGACACATTCGCTCCTCGGCCAAGTTGGAGGAGTGGACGCGTAAGGCGAAGCGTGTTGGATGGTGGGTTCATGCCAACCCCGCCCGCGCCTCGGGCGGAGGGGGCACCGAGGCTGGTGAGCGGCTGCTCGCCCGTCAGCATCTCCACGCGCACCACTTGGAGGCCGCCGCACCAGCGCCCAGGCAGCCGTGCGCCCCAGCCTCCTCTGACCTGGGCGGCTTCCAGGCCAGCGCGTTGCACGTGCAGGGACACGCCGTGGTGGCCATCGTCTTCTACGCCTTCTCGTCCCTTGGCTGGGCGGGAGATAACCCACGCAGGCATGGTCGCCTCGGCGCGCTGCTCGCGGCCCTGCATTTGCCCTGGCTGGTGCTCGGCGATTTCAACATGGGGCCGTCGGCGCTGCAGCGGCGTGGCTTCGTGGAGCGGGTCGGCGGCCACGCGCTCCAGTGCAATGCAACCTTTACCTGCGCCGTTGGCACCGCGGGATCGCACATCGACTACGGCTTGCGCTCGCCCTCCTGCTTGCCGTACGTCACAGGGTTTCGAAACGTGCAGGCCGCCCCCTGGAAGACCCACTGCGGCCTCGCGGTGGAGCCCCTCGGCAGCGGCCAGCAGTTGATGGTGCGCCGCCCGGCGGTGCCCGGACCCCTGCCCGCGGGAACGCGACCCCGCCCGCCGCCGACACCTTCCACCAAGCGGTGCGAGGCGCGCTCCCGCAGAGACGCCATCCGCCTCAAGTGGGGCGATTTCTCGAAGGAGGCCTTCGGCAGCGGGTCGGAGGCACCCGAAACGGACGCGCCCACCGACGATGCGGACGGCGAAGGGTTCTCCTCCAGCGACGGCGATGACTCGTGGGCTAATGAAGTTGAGAATTCGCTGCTGCCGCCGCCACAGGATGACGCGCCCCCCACCAGGGAGAAAGGCTCACCCTCTGGCAGGCCGCCCCAGCCCAGCACCCGCTGCCTCAGCACGTTCGCCGAGTCGCCGCTGCCGGCAGCCACCCACGACGCTACGACGCTACATCCGTTGCTGGCGGAGGCGAAG